GCACAGTGGGTTTGTCGGTGTCTGAGCCCGTCTCCCATGTGCACAGTGGGTTTCTTTGGTGGCTCCCACCCCCAGCCTGGCCTGGGGCACCCAGATGGGCATTGTGGGGCAGCAGGGCAGCTGGCACCTGAGCGCTATGTCGGGGAGGGTGGACAGGAACACCTGCGCCTCAGAAGAGTTCCGGCCGTGGCTGGACACCGTCAGTGTCACAAGAAACTGGTCGTAGTCACTGCTGAGAGAGTCCACTGCGAAGGACAGGGTGGGCGCCCCGGCATCCAGGCTGCGTGCAGAGGGCCCAGCGAAGCAGGGGCGCCCGGGGGCACTGGCTGGGGTGCACGCCCAGTGATACCTGTGGGGAAGCGATGGAGGGGCTGACGTGCCGGCTCTGGTCAGTTAGCGACCGTGGTGTCACCAAATGGCTTTCCTGGGGGGCCTGCCAGGGAGCAGCGGATGGTTCTCAGGGATGCATGTTCCAGGTTACCGACGTGGACGGTGTCCGTGGAGTGTGGACAGTGTCCATGGCAGAACCCTGGGTCAGGCACCCAGGGATGGAGAGTGAGTGGAGATGAGGACCAAGGCCTGAGCCCAGGGACCCACATGTTCCAGGTTACCGACGTGGACGGTGTCCGTGGAGGGTCTGTGCTCAGGGGTTAGCAGAGTGTGGACAGTGTCCATGGCAGGACACTGGGTCAGGCACCCAGGGATGGGGAGTGGGTGGAGATGAGGACCAAGGCCTGAGCCCAGGGACCCGACACTGAGGGACCCAGCACATAGAGGCTACTCATGTTTATTTCTGCCCCTTTCCAAAGCTCCCTTACATTTTGATCCTAAATGAAACACTACTTTGATAAAAGTGTAAGTCCTTAAAATTGTGTAGATTATAACTCAGCGCCCCAGAGCTGAGTGTGGAGAGGGCAGAGGAGGAGAAAGGCTGGGACGAGGAGGAGGGGCCCCACAGCCCCAGTGCTCACCTAAGAGTGGCCCCGGGCCTGTCGGGGTCGTAGGACAGGGACCCCCTGAGGACCATGGTAGACAAGGGGGTCCTGGGGACGAACAGGTGTGTGCCCTCGGAGATCACGCTGACAGGCGCCCGGGCGCGCACCTCCACTCCCACGCAGTAGTTGCTGTGCACGGGACTGCCTCGCACCTGCACCTGGAACATGGGCGACAAGGGGGCGTCAGTGAGGCAGGCAGGGTGCCCACTAGAGACAGAGGGGCTAGAGTCTAGGAGCAGCAGGCCCACTGGGGACAGAGGGGCTGGGGTACAGGAGC